GAACAATGTAAAGGCAGTGATGTTATAATCACATCTCATTGCCATTTGTGTGCCTTATGCACCTGCAATCCCCATCCTCACCAGAGAGCTTGCTCCCATGGAGTGCTTGACCAAGCTGAGAGTTAGATCTAGATGGTCTTTAAGGTTCCTTCCAACCCAAACCATTCTATGATTTTAAGCTGGAGAGTTAGTCTGACTCTGCAGAGCCCTGGCAGATGATGGGGTTCAAAAATGGGTTTCTAATGAACTGGGGACTTTCTGATTTCCCCCTTTTCCCATCATGATGCAGACTGCCATCTCTTCCAGCAGCATTTCCAAGACCCAACAGCCCTTTGCAGGTTGCTTTGTGGGCACAGTGGGTTGTATGCAGGCTGGAGTTTGGCCCCAGAAGGGAGGTATCTGCTGAGGTACCCTGACCAAGAGCCTAATGTCATATTCGTGATATGCTTTAAAGTGTCCACCTGGCAGGTAGCCCAGAAAATGAGTTGTTTGTAGGGAAGTAGATGCTGAGGAAAATACAGCTGTCATCTGGGCAGCTCTGCAGTGGTCCCTGGTTCAGGGAGGGACAGGCAAGAAACTTTTGGCTGTCCTCATTTTCCTCTTAGGATTCCTCTCAAGGGAAGAAAGCAATGATCATGAGGAGCAGCCTCACAACGAGCAAATATTCCTGTTTGCCACCCATGTCTTCTGCCTTGTCCTGCAGAAAAGAAGCACAAGGGGCAAGGAGGTGGCTTTCAGTTGTCCGTGCTGCTCTGCCTTTGGCAGATGACCTGTGGAGGAAGAGAAGTGCGTGTTCCTCTCCAGTGTGGGTTCAAGAAAGACTTGGGATTTGCAGGAATAGAAATACATCTTGGCTGCTGGTGCACAGTCCTTCCCTCTAGAGCCCAGCTCAAATGGATCCAGGATTTGGCCCTTTTTTAATGTGGGATGTTGCTTTTCAGTGGCTTGGAGAACATGGAGACTCTAAGATGTGAAGAGTCACCTGAGTAACCTAAAAGAGGACGGGTCAGTGACAGTGAAGGGACTCTGGAGCCAGGCTGAAGAGCGTGAAGTCTTGGGCAGCAGGGATGGTGGTGGACCCAGCCTGGGGACCTGAGATGGCTTTCAGGAAGCAGCAATACAGCTCTGTGGCAAATATCTTGCCACTGATAGTCCTGAAAATCTTGATGTCTAACCCATGGGATCACACTGCCTCTGCTGTGTTTTCATTCAAAAGTTTGAGGACATGACACACAGACATCTGCAGGGAAGTTGGAAGGGGGACAGCAATCTCCCTTGACCCAAGCAGCTATGGTGACACCCCGTGACAGACCAGGTAGTGGTACAGAGTGCCTCCTTCTCAACAAAATACATCCCAGATATAATAATGTGTCCACCTAAGGTGGGGATTGGTTTGGATGCAGACAGTAGGATTTAACTGTACATTTTCTGGATCTTTCCTGTCTTTTTGGTCCCATCCACAGCACCTTTCAGACTGAAAGCTGTCCATGCTAGGGCATGATATTCTGCCTCTCTACTCTGCTCTGGTGAGACTCCACCTGCAGTGTTGCCTCCAGCTATGGAGTCCTCACTACAAGGAAGACATGGGCCTGTTGGAGCGAGTCCAGAGGAGGCCACAAAAATGATCTGAGGGCTGGAGCAGCTCTGCTGTGAGGACAGGCTGAGAGAGTTGGGGCTGTTCAGCCTGGAAAAGAGAAGGCTCCAGGGAGATCTTATAGTGGCCTTCCAATACTTAGAGAGGGCCTATAAGAATGATGGGGACAAACTTTTTAGTGAGGCCTGAAGATATAGGACAAGGGGTGATGGTTTTAAACTAAAAGAGGGGAGATTCAGACTAGATATAAGGAAGAAATTTTTTACTATGAGGGTTATGAAACCCTGGTCCAGGTTGCCCAGAGAGGTGGTAGAACCCCCATCCCTGGAAACATTCAAGGTCAGATTGGATGGGGCTCTGATCAACCTAGTGTAGTGGAAGGTGTCCCTGCTCACTGCAGGGGAGTTGGACTAGATGACCTTGAAAGGTCCCGTCCAACCCAAACCATTCTGTAATTGATTCTGTGATTCTATGGTAAATTTTCTCCTTTCCCACAGCAACAAAAATAATCTGGAGATGGAGTGAAGGTCACTGTGTGCAAATGCTGCCCTAAAAAAAAATATAAAATAAAATAAATAAAAATTGAACTGCAAATGAATCAAAGGATAAATTAATAATTATATTTTTTCAAGATAAGGCCTCACTTGGATGATAAGTGCACAGATGTGGACCAGAACAACTCCTTTATTTTGCAGAATGTACTTTGAGCTTTGCACGGTGTGATAAAAAGAGAATTAAACATTGCACAGTTTTGCAGCAGACCTGGTGACCCGGCTTCCAGGTGCACTAAAATTGCAACCTCTGCATTGTTCCTCAAGCAGCAGTTCTGTGTCATGTGGACCCTCGAGCTTCATTTAATGCTGGATGCTGTTTTCCTCAAGAGTTATAAAGAGTGTGTCTGTAGCATTTGAAAGGAGTGGCACCAGGTATAAGCACTGATTTGTTCTGACCTGGAGGATGCATTGCAGGTTAGACCTGTTGCTCTGGAGAGAGCTGCAATGTGTCCTCACAGACTTTATTAATGTCTAACCAGGTACCTGCTGCAGTGTCTCTACATATATGAGGACATAAGATCCCATTGGGGAAGGGTTTAGAGAGCAAGCTGTATGAGGAGAGGCTGAAGTCACTTGGATCGTTCAGCCTGGAGAAGAGGAGAAGAGGAGACTGAGAGGAGATCTCATGGGGGTCTAGAACTTCCTCCCAAGGGGAAGAGGAGGGGCAGGTGCTGATCTCTTCTCTCTGGCCACCAACGAATGCCAGGAGCAGAGGAAATGGCAGGAAGATGTGGCAGGGGAGGGTGAGGTTGGCCATGAGGAAAAGGTTCTTCAGGCACCCAGAGGGTGGTGGAGCACTGGGACAGGCTCCCCAGGGAGGTGCTCATGGCACCAAGCCTGACAAGATTCCAGCAGCATTTGGCCAAGGCCCTTGGGGACATGGTGTGAATGTTGGGATTGTCCTGTGCAGGGACAGGAGTTGCACTGGATGATCCTTGTGGGTCCCTTCCAACTCACAACATTCTATGATTCTATGATGATTTCAACTTTAAAGAAATTTAGGAACCAGCTAGATTATTGCTTTTTCCACCCCTAGGAATTATCAGTACTATCATGGCAGTGTTTTAAAAAGGGGAAGGGATTTGTTTTTAAATGCAAGACTCTGGGATCGGGGTGATTGATTAGGAAAAAACCAACCAACCAACCAAAAACCCTACAAACCAGATCTGCTTATTTATCCTTAAGTAAAATAAAAGAGAAGTTACAAGGAAGTCTTACATGAGACCATCATATACCTCTTCTCTGATAGACCTTAGCTGAGATGAGCTAGAGAGGACAGGTGCCAGGTGTCTCTCAAAGAGGAAAATCCAGGTTTTAGAGGATGAGGCCATGGACGTGTCTATCTCACAGCTGAAGATGAACAGAGCATCTCCATCCTCATGTCCTTCAGCCCGGAGTGCCAGATCTGTGATAAAGACCCAGAGAAAACAATATATATAACCCATGACACATGATGTAGCCCATGAGCTGCAGAAGGCAAAGGTCTTGGATGAATGGGGGTTTTTAGCTCAGTCTCCCCCTTCTCAGAGAAAACCAAGGCTTCCAGAGGGACAGATGGAGAGGACACAGCTCTTCCCAGGCACTTTTTAGGGCATCTGCTTTACCAGGTGGCAGCTTGGTGGTCATCATTGTTTCTCAGTCTCTTGTAGTGTTGGGCTTGGGTGGGATTTGATGTACCAACTGATGCTTGTTTGCACACAGATTCCTCTTCTTGTGTTCCGTTGCCAAAACACAGACCATGAGGGAGGTGGGAGGTAGAGGGCAAAGCTGAGCACTGACTGGAAGCAGCTCAGAAAAGTCTTTAATGACTTGGGAAAGTCCCAAATCATTAATGTCTTAGGGAATGCAATAGAGCATCTTGTAAAACCTGTGATGACACAGAGTTGGAAGGACTGAAAATCCCCTAGAAGCCAAGATTAGAGTGGAGAATGAACCTGAGAAATGGAAGAAAAGGTCCAATATCAATAAGAAAAAACTCAGTAAAGACTAAAATCTTATCTATGGGAAGATAAAAAATAAAAAATCCAAGACAATTAAAATAGTGAATTGATAGCTCAGGACATTATCATTGCAGAAGTCAGACTGACTCCAGAGAAAAGCCAGACAACAAAGGGATAGAGGTCTGATCCAAGAGGATCCTCTGGATGCAGTGAGGTCCATCAGTCTTGTGGGAATAGGGAAACACAGTGGCCTTTGGAGAAATAGGTGGTTGCTGCAAGAATGGTGCTTGGTTGCTCTCCAGGTTCCTGGGGCAGATCAGGAAGAAACCACCCCTTACATCAAAGATGCCTTCACATTGATAAAATAATTCAGCAACAAGCCCGGAGAAAGGGCCACCAGGATGATGCCAGGGCTGAAGCACCTCTCCTATGAGGACAGGCTGAAAGAGTTGGGGCTGTTCAGTCTGGAGAAGAGAAGGCTCCGGGGAGATCTTATAGCAGCCTCCCAGTACCTGAAGGGGCTACAAGAAAGCTGGGGAAGGACTTTTCATAAGGGCAGCTAATGACAGAACAAGGGGAAATGGGTTTAAGCTGAAAGAGAGGAGGTTTAGATGAGATATTAGGAAGGAGTTCTTCACTGTGAGGGTGGTCAGACACTGGAACAGGTTGCCCAAGGAAGTTGTAGATGCCCCCTCCCTGGAAGTGTTCAAGGCTAGGCTGGATGAGGCTTTGAGCAACCTGGTCTAGTGGAAGGTGTCCCTGCTGATGGCAGGGGGATTGGAACTAGATGATCTTTAAGGTCCCTTCCAATCCAAACCATTCTATGATTCTATAAGTCCCTTCAAGTGAATCATTCATCCCTCAAAGTCCACCTGACCCAACTGCCAACTCACTAACTGGCTTTTCTCTCAGCACAGTGCTGCACAGTTGCCTTCATTGCCCTCTTCTTCACCCGTTTTTGGCTGGTCAGTGCCTTCTACGCTGCATGGTGGTTCATAGACAGGGAAAAACCCAGCAAGGGTGGGAGGCGGATCCATGTCCTCCGGAACAGCATCGTCTGGAGATACATGAGGGACTATTTCCCCATTACGGTAAGTGCCACCAGTCCCATTGGGTTTTAGGAGATTCTGGGATCAGCTTTGTCCTTAGTGTTTGGAGGTGGGTCTTAATTTTGTGTTGGAAGGTGACATATGCTAGCCAAACGTTTCAGCTGAGTGAACCACACCTCCAAGTTGCCTCTTTACAAGACCATCCAAGGAAGTCTACTTTGCATATGTCCTACTGCCGTTGAATTTCTTTATTCAAAGACCTGTCAGAAAGTGAGGCTGAGGACCTGCAGGGAGTTATTTTATGGCTAATCTCAGAGCTTAATTTGTGATTTAAGGGCTTCTGAATGAGCTTCAAAGCCAGGCCCCCAGAAGGTATATCATAGTCTTCTGGGGAGGAATGGGAACACATCCCAGGAAAGTTTGTGGTGAGTTTTACCATAAGACACAAGTAATATTTTATAAAGTTTAATAGGAAACACCAACTGGGTTTCCAATAAATTATTCTTGAGGCTGCCTTAGAAAATCCTAGAATTGCCGTGAGCTTTTTATGTGGCTGTAATGATTAGATGCAATATATATTCTGGAAATTACTTTTGGCCATAAGCCACTGCTTGGGCAATGTTGGACCAACCTCTCTGCTAAAACTCAACTGCCAGCTCAGCCCAGCGGCACCTCATCTCCTATCCCTTTGTAAGGCCATGGAAACCCCCTCCTGAACACCACGTTGCATTGTCTGTCTGTCCTTCTTTTCCTGAGTGCCAGTAGAAGACCAGTAAGGCCAGTAGAGGGAGCATGGCTACTGGGTTTGGCTGCAGCTCACTGGATGAAGGCAGAGAGGGTTCACAGAATCACAGAATGGTGGGGGTTGGAAATGACCTCAGGAGATCATCCAGTCCAACCCCCCTGCCAAAGCAGGATACCACAGGAGTGCATCCAGGAGGGTTTTGCATATCTCTAGAGAAGGACACTCCACACCCTCTCTGGGCAGCCTGTCCCAGGGCTCCGGCACCCTCACAGCAAAGAAGTTTTTCCTTCAGCTTGTGTGGAACTTCTGGTGTTCCAGTTTGTGCCCATTGCCCCTTGTCCTGTCACTGGGCACCACCAAAAAGAGCCCGGCCCCATCCATTTGGCCCCCACATTTCAGATCTTGATAGACATTGATCAGATCCCCTCTCAGTCTTCTAAGTTTGATGGAGACTTTCTTCCCACTTGGAGAAGTCAGAGGGAGCTTTGCAAAAAGACAGCAGAAAAAAATAAAAAATAAAAAGGGTATTATAACATTGCAATCACACAATATGATTTCCTTAAAACATTTTCTTTCTTCCACACTTGCTCGAGGACTTTCTAAGCCAGAATATAACAGCCCTTGCTGCACGTATCTGCTACCATGTGTCACTATAAGAGCATGGAAAAATACTTGGCATCCCCAACATCCTACAGCAAAGAGTTCCCCAGGTGAACCACGTAGTGTGAAGACTTCCCTGCTCCCTGCTCATTTCACTGGAAAAGCTCTGGTTAGCACAAGCAAATCATGTCTCACCTGCCCATGCCACTCCTGGTTTTATATTCTGTTATATCCCCCATCTGCCAACTTCTTCCCCCACCTAAAAACCCCAAATGTGTTTGCTTCCTTGCATGGAAGATATTTAATTTCACACCTCCAAGCATGGACTGATTTGTTCCTAGCAGCAGGGAAGAGGGTGGTCAGACACTGGCCTAGGTTGCCCAGAGAAGCTGTGGCTGCTCCTCCCTGGAAGTGTTGAAGGCCAGGTTGGATGAGGCTTTGAACAACGTGGTCTAGTGGAAGGTGTCCCTGCTGATGGCAGGGGGGTTGGAACTGGATGAGCTTTAAGGTCCCTTCCAACCCAAACCATTCGGTGATTCTATGAAGTTAACAATCATAAATGTTGCCTTTGTCATTTTCTATGCTGCTCTCACGAGGAGCTGAGCTGAGTTTTTGGTCTGAACATACACAGTTGGATAGTCCCATGGACCTCTCATTTGCCCAAAGTCCCAGTCAGAATAGGGCACAAGGGGAGTGGGATTTGGGGAGATGGACAGGTGGATACCCAACACCCCAGGCTGTATTTGTGTGTAGATTTGTGTTCAGTCCTAAAGGATTAGTCATTCCGGGAAGATTAAATGTGGTTCCTAATTCTCTCAGATCCTGGCAGCAACCTTAACATGACCAAGCATCATTTCCAGGAGGTAGGAAGAGCTGCCTGCTATTTTAGTTTAGGAAGCAGTGTTAAATGATACCTTTGAAGGATCCCTGGGCATGGTTGCTGTACAGAAGCAAAAAAAGGTTGGGATGAGCATCTATTTTCCATGGATCTGAGCAAAATGAATTTGCACTTTGCTGCAGTGAGCATCTGGCACATGGGAGGTGCAGGCTACGAGCCATGTCTCTGCAATGCATGCAAGGAGCACCCTCTGCTGATATCACCCTTCCACAAGTACTGCTTTGCTGCTCGTTTTTTTCACCTTGGAGCTGATGTATTTTATTTAGGGGTTTAGGAGTTATAGGGTCAGGCAGGACCTGAATGAGTTTAGGTGATTTTAAAATGGAAAATGAAAAAAACCCCAAAACACTGAGAATCCAAGGGTAGGTCCAGTGCATTGCCCAGGAAAGTTATTTCTGCTTCATCCCCTTATATTTTAACCCTCTTCTACTCCTTTTTTTTATAAACCCTCATGATAGACCTGCAGTACATGGCTGAGTTTAGCTAGATCTTAAAAATGGGGAAAATCTACCAAAAGGTGCAAAATTAATCTGTTTAGGGCAGGCTACACTTGAACAATTATCCAGAGATGTCTGCTGTGGGTTGATGTTGCCTCCAGAGATATTTTGGATACCTCGGATTGCTCTACTTGTGCTATGCTCAATAAGAAGTCAATAATCTGTCTGCTGCTGCCAGGTGTCTCCCCAAACCCTTACCTCCATTTGCACAGTCATCATTTATCATTTATCTTTGATCAGTGTGGCATCTTTATTAGGAAGGATACACTCAGCTTTACAGTAAAACCAAATTTCTATGTCACATGGCCAAGCCGGATGGTCATGCAGATCTTCACTGCTTCTTCTCCCCAGCCCCAGCCCCTCCTGTCACTATGAGACCACTGGCACCAACCTCCCTCGTACAGCTAAGGTGCTGTGGTAACCTCAGCTGAGGAGCACCATGAATGTGTAGAAGGCCAGGACGGGTATGATATGGGGAAAGCATAAGCTTGACAAGATCCATCTCTACCATAGTCCTCAAACAGAAGTCACCATCTTTCTTGTTGACTGTAAATTGAGGCTGGATGCTTGGCTTAGACAAGACATTCCACCTTCAGATCACGCAGCCTGGGTTACGAGTTAAATTTAGCAGTAGGAAGATAAAATTAAGGTCTTAGAGAGACAAATTTTGTCTTCAGGTGCTGTCATCATTCAGAGTAACCCAAACAGGCACCATCTTTACAGTTTTATTTAGGGCAGCCTGAAAAGTACCTGCTGTGGGGAGAAGGTCCCTGTGGTCTTCACTGTACTGTTTTCTCCTTGTGAAGAGCCACAAGAACTGCCCAGAGAGGGTGTGGAGTCTCCATCTCTGGAGATGTTCAAAACTCACCTGGACACTTTCCTGTGCAACCTGGTGTAGGGACCCTGCTTTGGCAGGGGGGTTGGACTGGATGATCTCCTGAGGTCCCTTCCAAACCCTACCATTCTGTAATTCTGTGATTTCTTATTAGCCTTGGTGTTGTCTAAGTGCCAGTACGACCTTATTAACTATAGCAACTGGCAAAGTCCCAACCTCTGTCATTGTACTTGGACACTTCCTGGCATTATTGTTTTTTGTTTTGGGGGGTTTTTTTGTTAGCATAACTAAAATGAATTATTGGAAAATTAGTTGACCCCTAGCAGCTGTGATTTGGGATGGCTCCATCCCATAGTTCATTCATTCTCATAATTGCATAAACCATGCCAGGGCGTATTTCAGTACGTTGTGGTTCTGGTGAAGTATAAGGTGGTGCAGAGAGGGGACAGCCCAAGTTCACGTGAACTGAGCCCTGGCAGGAATGTTTTCTTTCTTTTCATAGAAGAGTGATATTATATGTATATATTATATGAAACTGTGGATTTAATGTCGTGGCCCATGACGCTAAATATTATTTCTGATTTCCAACAGTCTTGACTGTTCACTTTGCTTCCTTCTGTTGGCTGGAGGAGAGAAGAGGGATTGTCAGGGTAAAAGCAAGATATAGCCAAATGGCCCAAAGCCATCCCTCTCTCCTTTTATGAGGAGCTTCTCTGTCCCATGTCTTGGCTTTCTCTTCCCTGCCCTTGAGTGACCTTAAGTAAGAGAGAGGCCACTGCTGATGTCAGGTCCACTGGAGGACTGTGTCCCACCATCTGCACTGCCAAGCAACATGCTAAGCCACTGGATAAGGGAGGTCCTACAAGACCCTCAAAAACAACATCACACAAGAACAAAGCAGGACTCAGGCATTTTGGAGCTGACATCCTTAATCAGCTTTGGGAGTGAGTGTGAAGTCCCATCCTAACTCACTTCAAATGCACCTGGCTGGTTAAACTCCTGATTCTTGGTACAAACATAGTTCTGACCTGGCATTGTAGCACCTGGAGAAAACCCCAGTCCCCAAAGCCTCTTTCTGCAACTGTCCCTCTCGGACTCTTGCCACTGCTGGGACATAAAATCCATTTTCCTCAGCAGCTGCTGACCATACTCAGATATTTGCCCTTCCTTTGGTCTCCCATCCAGACACTCTTGGGTGGGCTACCTGTTTTTCTTTGCTTTGGCACAATTTCTCCTTCTTTGGATCTGGATTTCTCTGCTGAGTTTCACCCCTTAGAGAAACTGGTTGCATCTTTCATCCTGCAAGAGATACTCTTTGGAGGTGCCAGGGTGGATAGCAAGGGACCTGAGGATTTGCTTAAGCCAAAGTTGAAAGGAGGTTTATCCTACGTAAGAGCAGATTAATGAACATGACATCCTTGGAAATGGAGTTTGGGGCCGGAGAAGGGTAGAAATACAATAGCAATT